CATCACAAAAATGAACCGAGAGCCACTTCAGCTCAGTCACGATAAGAAATCGGCTAGGTCTAAAGCCTTTAAAGGTTGTATCAGTGATTTCAGGCCTAAAAATAAATGTCTAATCTTTCCTAACGATCCGCTAGCTGCCCGCCCCATAAGCATGCCGTCCAAAAACCGCGTCTCTGTAGGCAGCCTAGGCTCTGAGATCTGCACACAAAAACAAATGTGTACAACCACCACTCAAAACCAAAATAAAGTGTTCCAACCAATCACTGACAGGGGCGGGTGTTGTGAGGTTTTGCGCTCGTGCACGGCTGGACGCGAAATCGGAGCAACACCCACCCCTGTCAGTGATTGGTTGGAACACTGTTTATTTTGGATTTGAGTGGTGGTTGTACACATTTGTTTTTGTGTGCAGATCTCAGAGCCTAGGCTGCCTACAGAGACGCGGTTTTTGGACGGCATGCTTATGGGGCGAGCAGCTAGCGGATCGTTAGGAAAGATTAGACATTTATTTTTGAGCCAGAAATCACTGATACAACCTTTAAATGTCTAAATATTCAGGCTAATAAATGTTATCGGATTGTGTAGGCTAATCCATATGAAAACGAGAGGTAGGCCTACAGAGGATCTACTCAAACATGCCTAATGTAAGCGCTTCCCAATGAGAAAATGACAAGACAAGGGTGAAAATCTCGCTCTAATTAAATGTAGGCTAAATCGCCCTGAATTAAAATGTAAAAACAGATCAAATAATGTATTTGTCGAAATGTTGCGATATTGTTTCATTTAAGTTCATAATTATTATATAAATGTTATTTAATTTAGCAGCATTACCACGAAGCACCGTGTTTCGATATTTATTTGAATAATACAAAATAAAATAAAAACTTAATTCACAAATTGCATGCCTGGTTGTAAGGATCCAAAGATCCCTGTAGACTTTAATATTGAGTTGAACATTTTGTTCATGACAACAAATTAACAAGCGTTTTTTTTCAGATTATATTTAGTTTTGCTTGGAAAAAGCTGTCCCAAACCAGTTTTATTTCATCAATTATTGAAATAATGAAATATTTAGTAATAAACTTGACAGAAATATCACTAGGCTACATGTGACTTAAATAATTTAATTCCTTCATTATCAACACTGTCTAGAATAGCGATTTAAGTGTGAGTTGCGACTTCTCTTTGTGTTAAGTCAGCCTCAGACTCAGATAGCCTGTGGGGGGGTTGGAGGGACAGTTGCTGGACAAAGGTGTTAATGTTCCTCTTTCATATGGAGAGTGTTCGGATAGCCAGCCTGATGAGCAGGCAAAATTATTGTAAGGATAAATCTGTGTCCAAATAGTTGACAAATAGTATCTTATTAAATTATAAATATTGTAGTTTATTTATTGTAGCCTATTTAAAGTTTTTTTCACACAAAATTTCAATTGAAGTTATTGTAAGGTGAATTCAACAAGGCATGCTGTGTCTTTGAAGCAACAATTAAAGGCTAAATTATTTTTTCGTGATTTGTATGGCTGACACGCAGCGACATATACAGTATTATCAGCTGTATGATGTGCTTTTACCCTGAAATGTTTAATTTCGAGAGAGAGACCCGGCGAGCGCAGCGAGGGAGACTAAATAAACTTGTTAAAAAGAGATCCAGCGCGAGAGAGACAACGAAAAACGCATGTTTTTAATTTAATTGTTTCTTTGGACAATTTTCGTTTTGTACTGTTTTAATTGTTTAATTTAGCTGTAATTTCTTTGGCAATACAAATTTAAAATGTCGCAAGAATAAGATTAGCCTAGTGTTTCTTATTTTGCATCGCAAAAGAAATAAACTCTAAACCCGATGCAACCCTGTTTTAAATTTTAAAAAACTGTCCCGACACTTTATTTAAACCTTGAAATGTTCGAACTTGGTTTCAAACTTAAGTAATTTTAGTGTTCTTTTACATTACACAATAATTTAGCAGACTAAAGACGAGCTTCTTCATTTTCATTTTCTGACGCAATCGGCTGACAATCTTCCTTCATCAGTTTGTCGTTTGTGCAGCGGCTGCGGTTCTACGGGAATGTAGCAAATTTATGTTGTAAATATTTTACCACCTTGATGCTTAAATAGTAACTGTTTAATAACTGTTTACTTATTTAAAGTCAAGAGTTTTGTTTAATTATCATTATAATTAAACAAAACTCTTGACTTTAAATAAGTAAACAGTTATAAACAGTTACTATTTAAGCATCAAGGTGGTAAAATATAAACGCTGTAGGACAACATCGGTTAACAACATGTAGGCATATGCTAGGCCTACATTGAGATTCGATCTCGGGTCGATTGAAGCTCCTCGAAGCTCGTGTTGTTGCGTTGATCACTGAGCTATACCGTCTGTACGCTGTTAAAGTTGTAAAGCCTCATTAATGTAGCCTAAATGTTTTTATTGCAATGTTTTATGTTGAAATGTTTTCATTATTTATTCAATTACATTTCAGTAGCCTAATTTCAGTATTGTGATTATGAATTATTTTAGCTACGTTTCACTTGTTGAATTCTTCTGCTACCAGCTTTCAATCGCTCTGAATCAGCGCGGTGTGGCAGCAGATTACGCATTAGGGAGAATAAACCGGAATAAACGAACACTTTTATGATTGTAGCGCCTCTTAGCGGTAAAAGGCAGCAAATCCACCACACATTTTACCGCCGCGGTGGAACGGCTGATGTGGGCATTGTCATGGCTTGCCTCACATTTGCGTTTGAATAGCGCGGGTCCTCTGTGGGCGTGTCAGATTAACGCGTAATGAAGTGTAATGAGCTGGGGGAAAAAATACTGACAGCACTCTCTTTTCATACAGATTGCATAAACTGAGAATATTTGTTGTTTATATAAATTACTTCATTTAAAAGAAGAGAATTCAAGCTTCATAAAGAAAAATCATTCGTGCCTGTGTGACAAGTAATCGCGGAGTTACAGTTAATCTTAGGACGCGTTTCAGAATGGACTTCACTGACAGAGAGAACGCAGAACTCGCATCATGTTTGTTTTTCTTTATTTGGTGAAAAGCACAACACTTTGTTTTTATTGTGAGTATCCACAAAAAAAATAGAAACTTAACAGGATCTAATGATGTATAACACTTAAATGTAAGATCAAAATAAACCGAGTATTTTGAGTCTCTTTTGCACTGATAAGAAAAAAAGCGAGCAGATCACGCCGGCGTGATTGCCGACCCCAGAGGGTTAAAGAGCCGTTTGTGAGCCAAAAGAGCCGGCTCTTTTCAGTGAGCTGAGTCAAAAGAGCCGAATGTCCATCACTACTATGCGTGCTTTAGAACACCCGCCCAACTCTACCTCTGATTGGCTTACAATGACATTTTACTCTACCTCAGCCAATCGTCAGCATTTATGCGCTTGTCTCGTGCTCTGCCCACTAACCAAGGAAGAACAGTAAAAAAAGTATTTGCCTCTCGCTCGGAGATCTAGTTGGTCTGATGAAAAAAAACAGCTTCATCAGTTATAGTAACGCGCCGCATTTTTTGGCAGTAACGGTAACGGCGTTATTAAGATGAGAAGAGTAATCAATTAGATTACTCGTTACTGGAAAAAGTAATGCCGTTAGTAACGGCGTTATTTATTCCCATCACTGGTGAAATGTGCTCGCTGTAATGTGTTTGTCCCACACAGTGGTTCTCTACACTAACTTTCACCACTTTTGAGTACATCACTCAGATGCATGGTCCTCTCATGTCCTTAGCCTTTGTTCTGCAAGATCTTTTAATGTAATGAGTTTGCCAGCTTAAAGTTACACCAGGGAACTTTTGCTCTCGGGGTGGGGTCCCCCTACAGTTGGGAAACAGTAATGTCCTCTAGACCTCTACTACTGTCGTAAACTCTGTGATCCTACATGCACGTGCAATTGTTGACAACCACGATAGCCCTGAACACTGTAGAAGGTCACATGCAGGGGTTCTGCTTGCGTCGCGTGTGAAATGTCTTCATTCCAGGTACAGTGGCATATATTTCAGCATGTCATATGAATATAATTTCATGGGTTTTATTTTTTTCCTAACGACAAATGATCACTTTTACAAGCCAGCGTCATTATAGTAGCCTAGTCTATTGGTTACCGTTTTACTGAATCTATATGATACTTCAATGCAATGTTTGAGTGGTAGATTATAACCATATATCGTCAATTATAATATCAAGCTACCATAAATGAATCTGCAAATTTTACAAATCGATTTGCATTATAACTTGAGGCAAGACAAATAAACAAATACCACAGACATGTTAGGTATCCTAAAATATGATTTTGTACATCTTATATATTTACTTGCAAGAATGTAGCCCCTACCAAACTTGTACACGCCGTTTAGACATAGGCTTTCATTTGATTTTTTTTTCACCTAAAAAACAGAAGGTTCATCATAATACACGACTACACTACACCAACATTATGCTGTAGAAAGTTTACACTTCAACCATAACACTTCTCTTGTTTTTGCAGGAATCTGTTGTTGAGGACTCTAACTCTGTATAGTATGCAAGCAATATACTTACTAGTCCAAAAGCATGACAGCCAAGTCCGCATCGGTCGGGCACCCCTCCTCCTCCTTCAGCTCACGCCAGCGAGAAAACGATAGGTTCTGCCTTTAACGCGATCACTTTATCTTTTTCTCCTTTTCCTTTGCTCCGATAAAACCTATGCTTTCTTGTTTTTCTGTGCTGCTTCGGCCATGACTATAACATTTGGCTCGCACGTCCGATTTTAAGGAAGTGGGGGTGGTGGTGGAAGTGACATGCCGTAAAGCAGTCGAATTTTGTAGTTCTCTTTGTTCGCCGGTTACTACCCGAAACCCGAAGTTTAAAAGTATGATTAAAAACGCTACAGACCCCGTCAGACTATGGAAGACGTGTCATTCAACCTATTGTAAGTCGATGTACCATCACAAGAGACTTGGAAATATATTATGAAGGTTGAAAAGTTACCTAGTGCTGCTTTAAAGCATTGATTATGTAGCACAAGTGATTTAGCTACATAGTAGTGACCAGAGGTGGGAGTAAGTCACTAAATGCAAGTCTCAAGTCAAGTCCAAGTCTTAACATTGCAAGTCAAAGTCAAGTCATTCTGTTGTAAGGGTCAAGTCAAGTCAAGTCGCAACTTAGTCATCAAGTCATACCAAGTCGCACACAGGCTAGTTTTACACATTTTTTAACTGGGACTTTTATTACTTATTTAGACACAGAGGGCTGATGGGTTACAAAAATAAATAAATTAACTTGTGTGTAATAAATAAATTAGCATTAAGAAGCACTTTAAATGCTCTAAAATAAAAATAAATTAAATGAAAACAAGTAAACAAGAATTAATACAACTTTTCCCATCTTGTAAAAAAAAAAACTAAAAAGATATTGCATTCTAAATTAGTACTGTATGCCAACGTTTGTTCTTACTCTAAACATCCAGGTGATTTGATCCCATAACACAAAATATTATATGGAAATTTTAAGAAAACAAATCTAATAATTTAAATGCTTTAAACCCGACTATTTTTTAATACGTGGGTCGTTATAACTGACGTTCTCAACTAGGCTACTTTCTTTATTACTTTCTCCTGCCCGCAACATTTATGTTTTGTCCCGCTCCCGCCCGCAAAAATACTTTTTTTCTGTTGCCTACCTCCAAATACTTTTAAGCAGTGTTGGGGAAGCTACTTTGAAACTGTAGTTTGACAAGCTACAAGCTACTCGTTAGTTAAAGTAGTTAAACTACAGTCAAGCTACCCTTTTGGAAAAGTAGTTAGCTACACTACAAGTTACGATCAAAAAGTAGCTAGCTACATTAAAACTACTTTTGCTTTTTTTGAACAACATATATTATAAATAACTGAATAAGTGTCTGAGGAATGTTTTAAGTAAAATATTTAGTGTTTAAAACAACAATGCAATACAATTATGATTTTTATTGTTTTATTACACACAACACTGTTTGTCAAAAGTGCAAAATTGCAACAAATACAACATTGCAAGAACAAAATATACATCCAACGTAAATTGCATGTATAGACTTTTTCTCAAAAATACCGATTGTGACTGTGAGATGGTTGCATTTTGGCAAGAAAATACATTGAACAAGCGCTCACATGTGGCACTGACAATGCACGTTAAACTCGCTCACATGCAGTGATGGAGCTCTCAGAATTTACTGTGAAAGAAGAACCTGAATCACAAGCTGCTTGTGAGCACAGTTCGGTTCGCTCTGGATCCAGTCACAACAAATCTATACAGCAATTTAATTAGATCAAAGCCTTTGTCGTGCGATAAACAAACTAAGATTACATTTTTTGTTCAACTGAAACACGATGGCGCAAACTTTAGTTTAGTGGTCTTTTATGTTCATTACCAAACGCGGACAGATCATGGCGGTTCATTGTAATTAAATCAGAAATAGAAATTTGATGTAACATAGAGAGCAATAAAGCAGGATAATTAATACATTTTAAAATGGCCATTAATCACCTGTATGTGCGTCCTTAAATTTGTGCTTGAGGTAGGGTTGCCACCTGTCCCGGTTTTACCGGGATTGTCCTTCTTTTTAATAACCTGTCCCGGGAAATTTACGCACTCTCCCGGGACACTGAATGTCCCGGTTTTCGAAAGGCTACGTGAATATGTATGTTCAAACTGTGTAGCGCGCGCAACGGCAGAGAGCGAGAGACCTTGCGTGTGTGTGCTAGTGTGAGTCGAGTCTGCCTCAAGAAGCGCATAAGAAGCGCATGTAATCTGAGTGTGGAGCGCGCTTGCTGCACGAGGCGCGGGCGCGAGCACTTCCGTTTTTCTATCAACAGTGGAAACAACTTAAAATAGGCCTACTACTCTATCATTTCTGGTCATAGAAAATAAACATCATTCGCAACAATACATCATTCGCAACTACTTTTATTTGTGTAAACTCACAATAACAAGAAAACGTTGTGCTTTTGTAAAATAAAATAAAACAATCAGTCGCGCTCTTTTATGGTCTCCGTGAACTGGATCGCGTCTCAAAATAAACAAGCCCATAGGCTAAAGCTTGAAATGTCCACTTTTAAACGAACAAATTCGAATCAAAAGAAAATACAGTCTGATTATGTAATCCATATGAATTTCTTCTCTAAAGGCGCATCTGCTTTACAGCGGAGATGGAGATATGTTGCAGCCGATTTAGAAAATACTAGTTTATTAATAAACAATTAAAATGCCTCGTTACTTTTTCAGAAACATTTATAATAGCCTATAAATCATCTATAGCCTTAGAAATATAGTGTTTGGCCTTAGAAAACCATTTTATCCATATAATTTGTGAATATTTTAAATGCTTATTAAAGGGGCAAAAAAAAATCATGAACAAAAATCTGAAAATACGCGAATATAGGATATATTTTTGCGCAGCATTTGGTGTATAGGCGGGCCTACAGTTAAAATTTAAATTTTGGTGTTCAACCGTTCATTTTTGGTCTTCAAACACCCCCCCCCCCCCCCCCCCCCCCAGTTGGGCGGGTAATATGTCCCGGTTTTTTATCAGACATAGGTGGCAACCCTAGCTTGAGGTCTTCTGTACGTCAGTGAACCGTTAGCCGCAAGATGCGTGAATAAACAACAGGTGGCGGTAATGGCAAAACAAATTAGTTTGTAATCTAACAAGAAGAAGAATATCCTTGCATCGCGCTGATTCGCGCAGGCTCAACAAAACACAATGTAGCTTTTGCTAGCGCTACACCGCTACTTGCTGCAAAAAGTAGTTAGCTACTGGAAAAGCTACACTGTTTAAAAAGCAACTGAGCTACTGCCAAGCTACTGAAAAATGTAGTTAAGTTAGTAGCGTCGCTACTTGTAGTTAACTACTCCCCAACACTGCTTTTAAGTTAGCCTATGTGTCGCCACCATACACATGAGCATAAATGCTCCTGATAAATAATTTGTTATTAAAGCATTAACACACAAACCACTGTTATAACATAAAAGCAAGCAGCTCCTGCGTCCATGGCATGACTGCGCGCCCTAATTCCTAAAAAGCTGACATCAGTTCATCGCGATCTCACACATCTCTGTTATTATCAATGAACCTTTTATAATATATACGTTACATTTTGTTTGTTATAATTCGAGGATTTGCCAGCATACAGAATTCAGCACTGAACAAAAAGTCAGTTTTGAGCGGTGAGGGGAGTCTATCGTAAATGCTTCTGATTGGCCATTGCATTCCTAGAAATCAACACATATGTCTGTGATTGGCTACATCGCTTATCGCTGCAAACATGTTAGAAATAGAAACATCTGGCCTGTAAATCGTTTCTATTTTGTTTTAGTTGTTCTTATTGCTTTTCTGCAACAGATGAATAAAAATGTATTAGTTTTTATGTTTTATTCATAGATATTTCTAGTTTGCGGGAGTCCCACAAATCGTTTTATTCTCCCTCAACCCGCACACAGAGTGAGTGCATTACCGCCCGCGCTCCCTCTTATGACGAATAAAAAATACACAATAATAAAAATAAAAAAATTCCACAAGTCATTTCAAGTAAATAGGCACAAGTCCGAGTCAAGTCTAAAGTCACAAGGAGCAAGTCTGAAGTGAAGTCGAGTCTTTTCAGAGATCTAGTCAAGTAAGTCTCAAGTCCAGAAAATTGCGACTCGAGTCTGACTCGAGTCAAGTCATATGACTCGAGTCTCCCACCTCTGGTAGTGACAAGAGATACAATACATAACACACAATAGTGCTAATTTATGTTGATTTTATTAAAATTCATAATTTATCTGATTACAAAACAAGAAGAAAAAATATTTCTGGAAAGAAAGAAACGAAAAGAAATTTTGTATGTGTTTTAATTTATTTTTGAGTTTTTCATCTGGTTACATCATGCATGTGAAAATAGGGTACTGCCCCTTTAAGCCTGCTCTTTCTAGAACGTGCTCTCGGGCCGTGGGAGAATCGAATCCTCCATTTTGAGAAGAGCGTTAGAGCAGAACTCCTGTGGGTAATGCGTCAGAACATTGTTATTTTGAAAGCAAAAATTTGATAAAAGACATCACTAAACAAGGATTTGGTGAGTGTTAATGTTTTTTTTTGTATGTTTATGGTTGAAGTGAGATAAATGCTGGTTTAATAACGATCGGTAAATGAGTTACATGGAATTGTGTGACGAAGTTCTAGAAATGCATGTGTTTTAACTGAAGTCTTGAGTTTATGGTAAAGTGTATATGGTGGTTTAATATGAGTTTTATCTAAAAACTTCCTTTATGTGGTTGTCATTTGTAATTTTATTTTGGTTGTTGCTGTAACGTGGTGATAATGCAGCTTACTGCTGTTTTAAAATTATTTCCCTCTGAAATAAGAAGATAGAAGTATGAAGTAATTTTGTTATAATTTTGACCTAAAATACAGGTCAGTTTTTTTTTTCCTGTGGAAACAATGTCTGGATATTTCCTTTGATGGCGAGCCCCCCATGGATCTGGACACTGGATGATCTGATTGCCCATAGGAAAAATGTGTTGCTCATCTGTTGTTCAATCTCATCTCTTGAGATCAATTTGAGCTTCTCATATTCATATCATCCTGTGATCATTTGTTTCTGAGTTACTTCTCCTAAGGGTCCCTTAGGAGCAAGACATAAGCTAAAAAGAGACAAGACACCAGTAAGACAAAGGAGGTTAAATTGAGAAAACCATTTGAGCAATACTTGAGAAGTGGGATAAACAACGGAGATCTCATAATTGTATACCCCTGATCTCAATTATGTCTTGGTTATTTGAAGGAGAATTAAAGAGAATAACATGAGATGAATCTGAGACTTTTATGAGACAAATCAGAGAATTATGAGCCTTAAAAGAGATCTTATTATTTCTCTTTAATGTCTTACTGAAGCTATATATGAGAATATCTGAGGTATATTTGAGAAATACAAGAACAAATTGAGAAAGCAATTTAAAGGGATACTCCACTTTTTTTGGAAATAGGCTCATTTTACAACTCCCCCAGAGTTAAACTGTTGAGTTTTACCGTTTTCGAATCCATTCAGCCGATCTCCGGGTCTGACGGTACCACTTTTAGCATAGCTTAGCATAGATCATTGAAGTGGACAAGACCATTAGCATCTCTCTCAAAAAAATGACCAAAGAGTATAATAAGAATCTATCTTATTATGTTTCTGATTTCTCAGTTTTCTCAAGAGTTAGTAAAAGAGTAAAGTTAAAGTTAAAAAAAATATTTTATTAGGCCAGGGATTCCCAAAGTGTGGTACGCGCACCCCCAGGGGTACGCAAGCTGCCACCAGGGGGTGCGCGAGAGGAAAAATGTAACAGGGTATCCGCGGGGTCGTGAAAATTATTAAAAGGTGATAAATCAATTTTGGGAAAATTAAGACCCTTAAAAAGTATTAAAGTCTTATCACGGCTTTATAAAGTCTTAAATTTTGAAAGTATTTTTTCTAGGGATGCACCGAATATTCGGCCGCCGAAAATAGCCCAAACGTGAATTTTCGGTTTTCGTCCGAAAGACTTTGATCACCGAAACAATACGGCCGAAATGTTGTTATGACGCAAACAGAAACCGCGACCTGCACGTGCTTGTCTGAAGCCACATGTCTGCGTTGTGGACGTATTTCAGTATATCTGAACCCGCGAGGAGCCGGAAGCCTTGTTTATACTTTCGCCCGCCTCCGCAGCGCGAGTCTCCACAGACAGCGCGCGCACCTCTCCAAACGGTCGAGGCGTTTATACTTGACGCGCTCGCCGTTGTACTATTCTTTGAAACGACAGGGGACGACTCAAGTAACTGTCCTCTAACCATCAGGAATCGGTGAGAAGGAGAAAGATAAACACGTGACAATGTTTATTTTTTAGTACCACCACCAATACAAAAATAATTGTGTAAAACCCAGTAAACCCTGAGATTATTACTTGTGACATTACAACAAAATATGTATAGGAATATGTACTAAATTAACGCTCTCTTAAATATTTTCTAATTTCACTAAACATATTTCATTAAGTTTCGTGTACATTTGTATTAAACATGGACCTTTGTTCATTAAAATGGCTTTTTATGCTAGTGTATGCTCATTTTTAAAATGTAATCAACTAATTTAGACGTGCAAACTGGGTGCTGGTGTGATGAGAAGATCGTGCTCGGCTTTGTTTTTATGAGAGAACATTTCATTTTAAAACCTTTCTGCAGGCCAGCAGATTATTATTTAATGTACACATGAGTGGGGTCAAGTTAAACATTTTAGTTTGAATTTTATTTTATACTGTGCATTGTGCTAAATAAATATTTGCATAATTTGTAATTGATTTATTCTTTGAAAATGTTAATTTATGCATTTGCAATGCCTTGATTTTAGTAAAGTTTGTACACAGTCATAACCATAAATGCAATGGTACTTATAATTGGCATAATTTCTTTCGGTTTTCGTTTTTTCGGCCTTGGGTTCCTCTTTTTCGGTTTCGGCCAAGAATTTTCATTTCGGTGCATCCCTAATTTTTTCTGAATTAGCTGTCTAACAGTTTGAGTCCCAAAAACATCGTAAAAGTGTGTGAATTTAGTCTCTTTTTTTTCCTTTTTTTTTAAAGGTCCCGTATTATGCCCCTTTTCACAAGATGTAAAATAAGTCTCTGATGTCCCCAGAATGTGTATGTGAAGTTTCAGCTCAAAATACCCAACAGATCATTTTTTACAGCATGTTTAAATTGTCATTTTTTGGGGCTCAGAAAAACGCGCTGTTTTAGTGTGTGCCCTTTAAATGCAAATAAGCTGCTGCTGCACGGCACAGGGGGCGGAGCTTCATGAGCTCGCGCTCAGTCTCTCAGGACAATTTCATCTCACGGAATGATAATAATATCAGAAACTCTCAGTAACGGTGTTCATTTCGAGTCGGACAATAATGCCTACAGAGTCAGAGTGCTGTATAGAGATGGAACAGGTATAGTTTAGTAGTTTAATTACGGTTATTATAACGTATTTGTCATCTGCTTGTATGTATCCATTATTTATTAATAGCCTACAAGTCTGCTGTTTCGGACCAGGTCCGAATGATGATCAAACATATACTGATGAGTTTAATAAAGTTTATTGTACATCACACAAAAGATGAAGCGTCAGTTTTACTTCAGAAAATCACCGTAAGAGCTGAGTAAACACAGTAAGTTATAAGAAGTGCGCAAGTTGAGGGAGTTGAGGGAGCATTCCTGTGGGCGGACGTTAGTCAAAAACCTGTTCTACTGACGTCATTAAAGAAGGAAGTAGAGGGATGTAGTCCAAACGGGCCGTTCGATGTAGGCGACTTCTGTTAAATAAAATATCTCGCTTGGCATTGAACTTTGAGCTTTATAATTTTACAGATATTATTTATACTCTAACAACAACATTACACACTAACTAAAGTGTGAAACATGGGATCACGAAGAACGGGACCTTTAACGAAGAACTGAGGCACATGTCAGCATGATTGTTGTTGAGGGTGGAGCAAAGTTTTGTTTTGTTTTTTAATAAACTTTGCTTTGATTTACTATCCCAGCCTATTTGATTTTTTTTTTTTTATCAGAGTGGTCTATAGTCTTCATCACAAACTAAAACTGTTAAGTTAAAAGTATCACTGATGTAAATGGTTACAGCTTGAAGTGGCGGTGAGGTATTAAAAAATATTGAGAAGGTCTTGAAAAAGTCTTGAAAAGGTATTAAAATTAACTTCAAGATTCCTGCATATACAGCATGTAAGGCGGTCTGTTTTGTAAGTGGGATTTTTCCATACAATAAAATAAAACCATGAACAGTAAACATTTCCTTTGTAATCGCTTTTATTTTAAATAAAAAAACTATCATTTATTAGTTTTTGATAGAAACGTTGAAAACAGCTGCTGTCTTCTACGCACTGCTCTGCACTGCAGCCGCTAACGTGACAGATGTGCTTTCGCGCGTTGGCTGGCGCTGAGCCAGTGCTGTCATATATCACAACCATTGAGTGTTTTCAACCACATGTTTATTTTAGGTTTCAGACATTTAAATACACATAAGTACTAGCAAAACAATGATTTAGATTTTGCTGATTTCTATGGAAGCGGCAATATTAATCCTTTTCATTATAATAAGACGACACGTTTTATTCATATCAGATACACATTGTATACGTAGCTTCACATTTGACCCTATTCTTCTCCCAGTTCACCGGTCACTTACTTTCATGTATTTCGAGAGAAGTGGAGGAATTGACGTCACGTGTTGTAAATGCAACAGATCCGATTCTCTGAACTGTGGCACAAACTAACGATCGTTATGAAGGTGTTTAAACAACAAAACATCCACTTGCACATATTTGACAATCGGAATATCAGTGTTTCATGCTATAGCTAATACATTTGTGAATATTTTTGATAAAAAAGGAAAAATGACATAAAAGCAGATCATCACTCATTCAGCTCTGTGTTGTGGTTGCGCTGTGTCAAGTGACGAGCAATGACACGTCACCATGGAAACATTAAAGTGACAAGTTCTAAATAACGGTCGCCTTGAAAAACTCACGCTGGGGGGTCAGTTAAAATATTTTAAACTTACGCGTGAAAGGGTTAAAAGTGAAAGCTTGTGCTTAGCTTTGTTGCATTATATTGAAACTTTGTTGATGTTGTTATTGTCATGCGTGTTCTGGTTATTAGTGCATGATTAAACATGAGTCTTTATTAGGGGTGGGCGATTTTATCGATTCTGCGATATAAATCGATATTTTCCCCCCCAAGATAGTATCGATATTTAAGCCGCGAGTATCGATATATAAGTCCCATTCAAATCCCCCGTGTTTAACTTGGCTCGTCAAGGGGCCGTTCACATATCGTGTCTTTTGCGTGCTCAAGTTCGTTATTTCAAATGTAGGCGCGCGGCAAGCGCGCTCATAATTGAAGCGACGCGCTCATTTTCTCCAGGCGCAGCGAGATGAAAACACCTCAACTTTTCAGAATGGCGCAAGCGCACCGCAGTTCATGTGATAACCAACCATCAGTTTCACCCTTTCCATAACAACATTAAAAGCTCGGCCAACATGAAGGATGGGGGTGCACCCAAACACTACGGGTGTTTTTCTCTGCTCCGTAAATAAATCTTGTAGCAGAGCAGAGCTACAGCAAGCGTTTTTCGGTGGTGGAAATCCATTTGCTACTAAAACCTCGTTCTTTGTCGTTGTGGAGAGCGCAGTTCATGGTTGCTTAGCAACAGTGATGGGAATAACGGCGTTATAAATATAACGCCGTTACTAACGGCATTACTTTTTCCACTAACGTGTAATCTAATTGATTACTCTTCTCATCTTAATAACGCCGTTACCGTTACTGCCAAAAAATGCGGCGCGTTACTATAACTGATGAAGCTGTTTTTTGTTTTTTTCATCAGACCAACTAGATCTCTGCGCGAGAGGCAAATACTTTTTTTACTGTTCTTCCTTGGTTAGTGGGCAGAGCACGAGACAAGCGCATAAATGCTGACGA